TAAATTCAGGGGTGGTCTTGTCTTTATCTTATATTTTAACATTTTGTTGATCATGGAATTTTTTGCATTAATTTTGATTTTTAAAAATTTTTTATCAAAATACTATTTATCTTGATTACTGAGTTTTCTGGTGCCCGGTTAAATTTTGTGCCCATAGCAAATGCCTCACTCCCCTCACCCCAGTCCTACCCTGCTCTAAGCCATGCACTATCTCCAGGCTGCTCTTCTGAAGTAGCTTCCTAACTAGTCTCTCTATGTCTACATTTGCCACCCATCGCTAATCCACTCTCCACACAACAGCCACAGTGATCTTTTGAAAAGACAAATTGAGTCATACCACTCTTCTGCTTCAAACTTTTCAACTGTCTCTTATTCTACTCATGATAAAAATCCAAACTGCTTGTAAAGCTCTGCATGATCTGGATGTTGCCTTCTTCCTTAACCTCATGTCCTACCAGTTTGCCTTTACACTCTATGCCCCAACTCCACTGGCTAACTTTCCATTCCTGGAATGTGTTAAACTTGTTCCCACATCAGGGTCTTGACACAGACTATTCTTTAAATGGATAATCTCCCCTAATCCTTTAAATCCCAGATTATGTCATCTCTTCAAGAGAGGCTTTCCCATCTAAAGTAAATCCCTTCCCGATATTTCTTTCTATCACTCTGTTCTTGTTCCTTCTTAATATTTTGACAATATAAGTAATTTGCATGTTATTTTATTTGTTGTCTTCTCTCTTTCTGTTTCATTTTTTTTTTGTTTTTGAGAGACAGGGTCTCATTTTGTCACCCAGGCTGGAGTGCAGTGGCATAATCATAGCTCAGTGCAGCTTCGAACTCTTGGGTTCAAGCCATCCTCCCAAAGTGTTGGGATTACAGGTATGAGCCACCGCACTTGGCCTGTCTCCTCTTTTAAACTCTAAAATCTTTTTTTTTCTTTTTTTTGAGCCAGAGTCTCACTCTGTGGCTCTGGGTAGAGTGCAGTAGTGTCATCATAGCTCACTGCAACCTCAAACTCCTGGGCTCAAGGGATCCTCCTGCCTCAGCCTCCCAAGTAGCTGGGACAACAGGTGCTCACCACCATGCCCGGCTAATTTTTTGTTTCTATTTTTAGTTGGCTGGCTAATTTTTCCTATTTTTAGCAGAGGTAGGGTCTCACTCTTGCTCAGGCTGGTCTGAACTCCTGCCCTCAAGTGATCCTCCCACCTCAACCTCCCAGATGCTAGGATTAGAGGTGTGAGCCACCATGCCTAGCCAAAACTCTAAGATCTTTGAGAGAGTTTAGTGCTTTGCTTACTACCATATACCCAATATTTAGCAATCAAATATTCACTAAATGATTAAAACTAGAAACAAATAAATAATAATGGTAAAACCCAAAGTTAATGGGTTTTTGGGAAAAGAGTCCCACAAATAAAGTGGCATCAGTATTCATTAGTATTAAAGCAATATGGACACAAGAGTCGTAAAACTGATCATTTCCTTTGATCTAGTAGGTCTACATTTGAGACTACATGCCAAGACTATAACTTGAACATTTTATTTATTTAAATTATTCATGTATTAATAATTCATAAAAGTTGAAAAAATGGGAAACAACCCAAAACACGTTGGTTGCCCATTAACACACCCTTGTTTTCATTTTCTTTCTTCAGCCTAGATAAACTTAATTGTATGTCATTTCTATGGCAGAACCCAAGCAGATCTGCATTATTAGAAAAAAAATCAATAAGTCGGGCAAAATACAATCACCATGATTTTTAAATTCACCAGTCTCAAATGGGCAATCACATTTCCCTGAAATCCTGCAGTTTTTCTGATAAAGTTGTCATCCTACTTTCTACAGATGGTATTTTGATATTCACCATTCTCCTTTTACCAAAGGAGCCACCATCTACAAGGCCATTTAAGCCAGAAAATATGAGAGTCATTTATGAGAACTCTTTCATACCCAGTTCATCACTAAATTCTATTATTTCAATTTCAAAAAAATACATCTTGAATTCATCACCTCTTTTCTATCTTCACTGCTACCACAATCAGAGCCATCATCTGGATGACTGAGATATTCTCTTAATTAGTTGTTCCATTTTCATTCTTGCCTTTCTCCAACCCATTCCCCACACAGCAAAGTGATCTATTTTTTTAAAAGCATAAAACTAATTCACACACAAAACAATAAATAATACAGCAATTTATGAAGAAAAAGTTATGTTTTCCCTCTACCCCTTTTCAATTGCAATCCCCCCCAGGTAACCAGCAAACACTAAATATTTGATGTGTATGTCTTCTGTTTTTTTTCCTGTGATTCTACAGAAATGTTTTCATATATTTTTGCATTAGTTTTTTGTTTCTAAAAATTGGATTGCATTATACACAATATGTTATAATTTACTTATTTATTCTTTACCTGATATATATCATGGGCCTTCCTCCAGGTCAGTATGTAGTCTTTTCTTTCTCTCTCTCTCTCACTCTTTTTTATATAGCCAGGTATAGTCCAGAGAATGGAAGTACTGAAATTGAATTATTAATAACTTTTCCACTGATGGACATTGAATAGCATGGTCTTTTAAAAATGTAAATCAGATCATGCCTCTTTCCTCCATAGGCTTTCAGTTTCCCATAGAGTAAGAGCTCTATTTCCTACCATGGCCTACAAGGCCCTGGATGATTGGCCCTTGCCTCTCTTTAAATTCACCTCATGCCACTCCTCCCCTTGCTCACCACAGTCCACATTCACCTTCTGGTGAGGTTTCTTATCACCTCCTGTTCTTGCATATTTTCTACTCTTAACCTGGTAAAGATCTGAGTACCCTCCTCTCCCCCACCAACCTAAATTAGGTTCCCCTCTTATACTTGCTAGTAACATCTTGTAAACACCTTCCTAGTACACATCACCAGTTGTAATCATATATAAGAAGTTATATTTATATACTTATATTTATTCATATATATAATTATTTAATCTCTGCCTTCTCCACTAGGCATGATGCTCTATGAGGACACCATGTTTTGCTGACCACTGTTCTGCATCACCAGCACTGAGCACAGTGCCCAAAGGTAAAAGAAGATATGTCCCACACTGAGAAATCATTAGGCAAGCTAGGTAAGAGAATTTAATGTGAATTAACTTTTAAAATTTTATGAGAATGAAGTGTTACATGGATAAGTCTATATGAAATTATACATACACACATAAACATATGAGAAATTGGTAATAGTGTAGTAAAATGGAATACTGGCCTGAGAGGGTAGTGACTCTGTCACTAATTAGTTGATGACCTAGGAATTGTCACTTCCTGTCAGTCTCCATCAATGAATGCTTCTCAATATAAGTGTGGCATTGCCCCCAGTGTTGGAGATTTTAGTTATAAGTGCTAGCAAATGATGACTTGATTATATTTTCTAAAATAGTCATGCCTGAGAATTTATACATTGAGATACAACTAATTTTTTATAAATTATTTGTCTTTGTACTTTTTATATTATAAATGGGGCATTATTTTCGTTTAAAACAAAATCAGGCACGTATTATCTATGAATTTCATTTTAGGCTAATAAAGGGGACGTTATGAAAATATTTATTAAAAAAAGGAGTGTTGGGTAAGATAAGTTTGCCACTGGATTAGATGATGCCTAAAATCCCTTCAAGTTTTTACTGCAATGGTTCTAGTCTTTAATAATGGAAAGAAATCTTTTTATTTTGTTCTTTTCATATTTTGAGCTATAATCCTGCCACTGCACTCCAGCCTGGACAACAGAGCAAGATCCTGTCTCTAAAAATAAAAATACATAAATAAAAGAAAGAACTGAGGGCTTCTCACTATCAGATTAAGTTCATAGATTTGAAAGTGCAATCTTCCTACTCCCCTTCCCTGTTTTAAATTTTTTTATCAGTTATGAAATACGATGCATTTTAACCATGTATTTTTAAAGCTGATAGCTTCTTCGCCCCTCTCCCTCACCCCAACACACCCACTAAAATGGGGACAGGGAATTATGTCTGTTTTGCTTACCGTTGTATTCCCAATGTATGGAAGGAACAGTGCTGGGCACACAGGAGGAGCTCAATGAGTACTTGTTGTAAGAATGGGTGAAGAATACACAGAATAAGCAAAAATGACCTCTTCGAGCGCCACTTGTACCAGACTTCTACGAGGCACACGGGAGGGACCAGCAAATTTACTCATTTTTGTGACTGAGGATTCTTCAGTGTTTGTACAGACTGCGACCGCATGCTTCTATTCTTGGGCGACGTGCGCAGAGTTCGTGAAGCTGACGTACACACAGCTGTGCAGGCAGGGTTGAACTAACAATATTTTGCACGAAAGTCCGCATGTTCTCAAACTCACACCAACAGAAACACGTTATTGTAAGTGCATGGGTGTTCCATTCTCTTGAGCAATCTGCACATGACAATTTAGGATATTTCCTCACAGGAGATTTTTGGTGAAGATGGGATTAAGAGTGGCGGCTCCAAACTGCGGAGAAACAGGGAAACCAGTCAACGTTCACTTTTCCCAAAACAACAAGTCTGTACTAAATCCCACCCTAGATCAAATCCCGCGCTCTTCACACCCCAACCTGCCTCCACCTCCACTCCGCCCCCTTAGATATCTCTGGTGGGCGTGGCAGAGGAGGGACGTTCTCGGCTCCCCCCAAATGGATTAAGCTTGTCTCGAGTTTTGGGATTCCGCATTTCAGCAAACGCCGAGAAAACGGAACCACTAACAAAAACCGCCGACCATATGACATTGGAGCAGCACACGCAAGCGGAGAAGGAAGCAAAACACGAAGAAAGGCAGCAGTCCAGCAGCCACGTGAGGTGGACGATCCCGTCCGCCTTCGGAGTGAGGACTTCAACTCCCGGCTTGCCTCTGGGCGGTTACCCTCCGAGGACTACAACTCCCAGGGTGCTGCGGGAGCGGCTGCCGCAACCTCCCACTCAGCCGCCCGCGACTCCTCCCGCCCCTCCCCCGCCCCTCCCGACAGGATCGGCGTGCGCCTGCGCACGGGAGGCCGTCGGAGTCTTACCCTAATGTAAGATGGTGGCCCGTCTGGCTGTGGAACCCACCGAAAGCTGAGAGTCTCTCTCTCAGCCGTAAAGGTCGGACTCGCTGAAGGAATCAGGCCCGGTTCTGAAGAGTTTTTTCCCCGACACTCGTTCAGCGGTTTCTTGTGAGGACGCGGCAGCGCGTGGAGTCGGCTAAGGGAAAAGCGAGGCAAGGCAGGCGGGTGAGTCTATGCGGGGCTGGGCTTAGGGGAAACCCGGGGCTGACCGGCTACGAGAGAGCGGAGGCTTCGCAGGGACTGTGCAGGCCGCACCCCCCTTTCTCCCCACCCCCAGCCTCATCTTCACCCTCCTCTGCCTTGCTCTTCCTCCTCCTCCTCCTCTTCCCCCTTCTCCCCTTTACGGCACAGCAGTTACCATCAGGAAAAGGGAGCGGGGCAGAAGGCAGCGCGGCGGCAAGCACCGACTTTCCTTCGAGAATTTCTTTAAGTGGGGAGCCGAGGCGGCTTCTCGTTTACAGTTTTTTCCCCTACGTTTTTATAGGGGCAGAATTCTTAGGTCTCGGTTCTCCTTGTTTCCCCAGCCCCTTTCCCCCTGTCTGACGTCTTTTCCCACCGGCCTCCGTCTCCCAATACCAAAGCCATCTCTTCCACTCTGACCCGTGTTGCTGCTGCTGCTCATTAATCCCACTGCTGATTGCCCACTCGTCCTGCTGCTTGTTTTTTGCTCCACTGCTACCACTCTGGAGTTAGCCTTTGCCCCTCTCTGGTGCTTGCAGTCAGCCCCCAGTGTATCTGCCACACTAGAGCGTCTTCCGATTTGCAGTCTGTCTTTTAACCACATCTGTCATCTTAAAGCTGCCCCTTAAATATTTAGATTATGCTGCGGCTCCTTCTAACACACCTGTTTCTCAGCCTTCTTGAGAATTGTCGGTTCCTTCCCTCTTTCCTATACAGATCCTTTCAACATACACTTCCAGAAAAAGGGATGCCCCGTGTTGGCCCTTGAAAAGTAAAGGAAGTTGGGAAGTGAATGAAGTGAGGTAGGATACTATTAAACGTTATTCAGGCTACTCAGGAGAGGAACGTTTTCGTTTTGCTTTCTGTGATCTGTTTGTCGATTATTCGCTCTGTAGGGACGTGGCTCCCCTCGCCTTTTCCTTTTGGACCGGTTTCACCATGCTACTAAGCTTTCTTTGCATTGCCTCTCCCCAGGACACTTAGTGTGGGCTCTGATGATATCAGTAAATATTAGCCTAAGCATTTCAAAATAAGATAAATCTGGCGGACACACAAATTCATATGCGAACTCCACAAGCAAATATAAGTGATATTTTGATTATATGTGGGATCCCTTCTATATTGAGAATTGATTTTTGACTAAGTGAATTATATTGATGTTCAGCTTAATTGATGACATTTTATTTATGGTTTGAGTGGAAATTTCCTCTCCAGTTAATATGAGATTTACTTAGTATTTTTGCATTTGGGAATTCTGTCTTTTGACATATCTAGGATGATAATTATCTGAATAAATTGTCTTCTCTTGAAAATCCATTATGTATGTATGCAAAAGAAAAATTTTTTTTTTTTTTCGTGAACCTAAATTCCTCATATTTTTCCCATAGAAAAGAAGGGCTGGGAAAAGAATGACAAAGCTCTGCACATATATGCATTTGGTGGAATTCACTGTCATTGTTATCTACAATAAAAAGCAGAAACTAGAAGCAAGAGGTGGCCTATGATGTCCATGTTTTGGTGAAAGCAAAATTGAAATGTAATGACTAGTGGCAGAATGGGAAGAAGGAGCCCTTGCTGTAATCAGACCACTGTGCGATAAAGAATTACCAGAAAAGCAAACGGGATTACATAGTTCAGATACATCTCAAGTTTAAACATAAATAAGACATTGTGTTCTTAAGATATATATAAAAATGTTTAAAGTCATGGTAACAATCTCATGCAGCTATCTCTTATTTGCAAAAGTAATAATACCTTAAGTATAAATAAGAATACATACAGTTCCTTTTTAGTCACTTTTGCACATTATTGGGTTGCTGTAATTTTTATAAATTTTACCTATAGAACTTGAGGAGTCTTACATTTGGTGCTATGTTCACTTGATTGAGATAAATGGTCTGTTCTACCAAATGTAAACTAAGGTTAGAAGAGCTATTTGTAAAACTTCTTTTTTCCTTTCAGCCACTTGAGCCCCAATTCAGGGAAACTAAATAAATCTCTACGCTTATTAGAGTGAAGCAAAAATATAGCAAATGTTGTTCCAAATTACAACTTGAAGTTTTTAAAAAGATATTACTTACACTTAGTTTATCAGTAGGAGTGTGTTTAATACAATTGATCTTAAACTGTAAGTTAAAAATTTTCCTTTTTTTTGTTTCGATAATACAGTGGTGGAGAAGCTTTCCACTTTGAACAATCCTAACACAGGTTTAGAAACACTTGGCAGTCATACTTGGCTGAATTGTAAGCAATGTGTTCTAGGAGAGGACTGTTTGTCTGGCATAAAAGAGTAAATGATTTTAATACATCTTTTCTTTTAGAAAGGTATTTTGCCTCACTAAGTATTTTCTCAAGTAATTTTCTACCTATGTACTTTTTTGCCTGAAGTCATCGAATTCTTAGTTTCAGCCCTCTGAGGTCAAAATGATTTTACATTGGGATTTTTGGTATGATTAAAGAAGATACCTAAAGTTCTTTAACATTTTAATAGGAAAAAGGGAACTGAGATTTCTAAATATTTTTGTATGATTTAAGTTTTCAGATATAACATTATGAACATTCCAGCTTCATACTTTCAGGGTTTCTTTTGATAATTTGGAATACTTTCTGCCAGGTTCAATAGTTGACTTCTTCAAATGAGTAGATTATTCTATAAGGTTTTGAACATGAATCACTTAAAGTTGGCTTATTACAAAATTTGTTTTCAGAAAGTCATGAAGACAAATCCTTTATTAGTTTGAAACAATTATAATCAAATGGCAAACTACAGGAAAATAAAAGTATTTTGTAATGCCCTTCAACTTCAATCTAAATGGGAGTACTAGCGATAACTTGCAACTCTACTTTGTAAAAGAAAGAAGGCGTTGCCTAAGGATCAACTCCTAGCTTTAGGGGAGTTTTTTTTTTTTTTTTTTTTTTTTTTAAAGTTTTTATGTGCTTTAAGAAAATGAAAAAATACCTTCTCAGTTTAAGCAGTTTGGTTTTAGAAATTTTGCCTTTCTCCTTCTCCCTACTCCTGGTTTTAAAATGAAGCTATGTTCTTCATTTTAGTAAATTTTTTATGTGACTGCAAATAATAACTTGATTCAATATATTTAAAATTAGTGTTATTGTTTTTATAGACTATTTAAGTAAAATAGTTTGAATTTGTGAAAACTTCAGCCTCTGCTGAAACTGAGTTAGGCCTCTGTCTGTAACTATAGTACTGTCTTGACTTTTTGTGAGGGAATTACATTCAGCTCAGTTGGTTCCGAAGAAAACAGTAGGGAAATAGGTTATAAGAAATTTTTGCTGTTCTAGAAACAGTATAACTAGAATGTACCACATACTTTTCTCAAAGGATTTCTTAATCTAAATGGAACTTGTAAATGGTTTTCATCCCACTGGAATAGTATGTATTGGGAAAAATTCCTTTAACACATTCTGAGATTTTATAAATTTTATATTACCTCAAAGATAGGAAAATCCGCAAATACTCATTCTTGAGTAAAATATGATAATATCCTTGATATTTTAAAGATTCTAATATACATTTTTCTAAAAGTTGAGAGTATACAAATTATAAAGATAGCATAATTGACTCAGTTATTTTTATGATAATATCCTTGATATTTTAAAGATTGTAATATACATTTTTCTAAAAGTTGAGAGTATACAAATTATAAAGATAGCATAATTGACTCAGTTATTTTTGTGATGCAAAGGAAAAAGATAAATGGGACTTTTTAATCTCTTATTTAACAGTTTTCTAAAAGAACTTTTTTCAAAATTGTTTTCAATCTTGTTACGTGGCCTTCATTAGAAAAGATTGTGTGGTGTAAATGTCAACTTTTCCAAATTTAGTATAATCTAGTGAGTTCTGTTACACATTTCTTTTTATATTATTTTTTAACCATAAAATTATTTATAAAAAAATTTCAGCACCATTTTGGTCTCCTAGATTTTAGTAGCATGTTTTTCTTTTATCAGAAGAAGAAAATTACATGCTATTTTTAAAAAAATGATTACCAGCCAGGCGCGGTGGCTCACGCCTGTAATCCTAGCTCTCTGGGAGGCCGAGGTGGGCGGATTGTTTGAGCTCAGGAGTTCGAAACCAGCCTGAGCAAGAGCGAGACCCCATCTCTACTAAAATTAGAAAGAAATTAAGTGGACAACTAAAAATATATAGAAAAAATTAGCCGGGCATGGTGGCGCATGCCTGTAGTCCCAGCTACTCAGGAGGCTGAGGCAGGAGGATCGCTTGAGCCCAGGAGTTTGAGGTTGCTGTGAGCTAGGATGACGCCAGGGCACTCTAGCCTGGGCAACACAGTGAGACTCTGTCTCAAAAAAAAAAAAAAAAAAAAGATGATTACTTTTACTTGCTAGGAAAACCTAATTTTAAAGATATTATAAGTACAAGGGAGTGTGAGTATGAATTTATTTTTTTTCCTAAGAAGTTTATTTGGGAGGATGGCTTTTTTATTATTAAACTCTATTTATACCAGAGAGTTGTCCCGTTTTAAAGTTTAATTGCACTGGGTGATGGGCAGTTGATGTATTGCTATTAGGATAAGCCTTCCTATTTGTATAGGTGTATATGTCAGATATCTGTTAAAAAACAAATTTTTTTTTAGTTACGGTTACTAAATCTCTCCTCTTGAGTATTTAAAACAATTACGAAGTAGAGTTGGAAATCAAAATAATCAAAATTGGCTTGTATAGATGCCCAAAACCAGTTTGGAAAAAATGTCAAGGCAAAAAAACCAGTGTAATTAGAAGGATAAAATGTTTTCACTTAAAAATAGTAGGTGTTGCATTACTGCTTTTAGAAGGAATTAGTGAATGATGTTGTAGGCAAAATAGTATTGAATTTTGAAAAGCAATTATAAACTGAAATTTCAAAGGGGGAGCATTCCTTAACAGCAACAAACAGATACACTGTAATTAAGCCAAATATCTGAAATTTTTTAAGCATATTTTTCAATCCTTGGAATAAAGTAGAAGTG